GCGCCACCGAGAGATGAGATAGGGGTCGAATATAGGAGTACATGAGAATGTATTGATTCTCTTCTCTGACAGGTCTTGGGGATCAGATCCCAGAGGTGGTCAAGACCTGGCTTCAGGAGGACTCCCAGTTGGGTAAGTGTGGCCTGTAGGTTGTTGCTCACACTAAGAGCTTAATGTTCCCTTTCATATCCCTGTTTCATATCCCTGTTTAAAATCCCTGTTTCATATCCCTGTTTCATATCACTGTTTCATATCTGTGTTTGACATCAGTTTCTCATATTCCGTTTCACATGCACGTTTCACATTTCTCTTCCCCGTCTCTGTTTCACATTTCTCTTCCCCGTCTCTGTTTCACATTTCTCTTCCCCGTCTCTGTTTCACATTTCTCTTCCCCATCGTTATTTCACCTTTCTCTTCCCCGTTACTTTTCATATTTCTTTTCCACACTCCTATTTCAAATTTGTCTTCTGAGTCACTATTTCCCATTTCCCTTCCCCATCACTTTTCATATTTCTCTTACCCACCCCTGTTTTCACAATTATGTACCCCATTAATGTGTCACCTTTCTGTTTCCCACCCCTCCCCCTTGTTTTACATCTGTAGGCAGACTCAAAATGTCCAAGCTGGACGGGAAGGACGACAAGGGGTTATACCAGGCTCTGTACACTTTCGGCGCCCGCAGCTTCTCAATCTGGGACGCTGCTGACAACTTCAAGCAGCTCTATGACAGTGGCAGTGACATCGAGACCTACACAGCCCTGAAGTGTCCACACGCCTTCAACACCGAGGGGGATGACATCGATGAGAAGTCTGACAGCAAGGTGAGACAGACAAAAACATGTACAAACAGCAGACAGACAGACAGTCCTTAAGAGAGACGCGCGGTTAGGTTGGCATAACGACAGAAATGTAGAAATGCAGGAAGTTAATATACATAGAGGCACACAGAGAAAGATAGAATAAAGAAATTTGTCATTTAGACAAGTAGACATCAGACACAGAGACAGCCAGATAGACAGACAGATATAGACTCAAGTGGGCGTGAGGGTCTTGACATATACTCAAGGGGGTGGGGATCTTGTTATATACTTAAGGGGGTGTAAGTGTCTTGCACTATACTCAAGGGGGTGTAAGTGTCTTGCACTATACTCAAGGGGGTGTAAGTGTCTTGCACTATACTCAAAGGGGCGTGTCTTGCCCTATACTCAAGGGGGCGTATCTTGCCCTATACTCAAGGGGGCGTAAGTGTCTTGCCCTATACTCAAGGGGGCGTAAGTGTCTTGCACTATACTCAAGGGGGCGTATCTTGCCATATACTCAAGGGGGTGTAAGTGTCTTGCACTATACTCAAGGGGGTGTAAGTGTCTTGCACTATACTCAAGGGGGCGTAAGTGTCTTGCCCTATACTCAAGGGGGCGTAAGTGTCTTGCCCTATACTTAATGGGGTGTAAGTGTCTTGCCCTATACTCAATCAAGGGGGCGTGTCTTGCCCTATACTCAAGGGGGCGTGTCTTGCCCTATACTCAAGGGGGGCTTGCCCTATACTCAAGGGGGCGTGTCTTGCCCTATACTCAAGGGGGCGTAAGTGTCTTGCCCTATACTCAAGGGGGCGTAAGTGTCTTGCCCTATACTTAAGGGGGCGTAAGTGTCTTGCCCTATACTCAAGGGGGCGTAAGTGTCTTGCCCTATACTCAAGGGGGCGTAAGTGTCTTGCCCTATACTCAAGGGGGCGTAAGTGTCTTGCCCTATACTCAAGGGGGTAAGTGTCTTGCCCTATACTCAAGGGGGTGTAAGTGTCTTGCCCTATACTCAAGGGGGTGTAAGTGTCTTGCCCTATACTCAAGGGGGTGTAAGTGTCTTGCCCTATACTCAAGGGGGTGTAAGTGTCTTGCCCTATACTTAAGGGGGTGTAAGTGTCTTGCCCTATACTCAAGGGGGCGTAAGTGTCTTGCCCTATACTCAAGGGGGCGTGTCTTGCCCTATACTCAAGGGGGTGTAAGTGTCTTGCCCTATACTCAAGGGGGTGTAAGTGTCTTGCCCTATACTCAAGGGGGCGTAAGTGTCTTGCCCTATACTCAAGGGGGCGTGTCTTGCCCTATACTCAAGGGGGCGTGTCTTGCCCTATACTTAAGGGGGCGTGTCTTGCCCTATACTCAAGGGGGCGTAAGAGTCTTGCCCTATACTCAAGGGGGCGTGTCTTGCCCTTTACTCAAGGGGGCGTATCTTGCCCTATACTCAAGGGGGCGTATCTTGCCCTATACTCAAGGGGGCGTGTCTTGCCCTATACTCAAGGGGCCGTGTCTTGCCCTATACTCAAGGGGGCGTATCTTGCCCTATACTCAAGGGGGCGTAAGTGTCTTGCCCTATACTCAAGGGGGCGTGTCTTGCCCTTTACTCAAGGGGGCGTGTCTTGTCCTATACTCAAGGGGGCGTGTCTTGCCCTATACTCAAGGGGGCGTAAGTGTCTTGCCCTATACTCAAGGGGGCGTGTCTTGCCCTTTACTCAAGGGGGCGTATCTTGCCCTATACTCAAGGGGGCGTATCTTGCCCTATACTCAAGGGGGCGTGTCTTGCCCTTTACTCAAGGGGGCGTATCTTGCCCTATACTCAAGGGGGCGTATCTTGCCCTATACTCAAGGGGGTGTAAGTGTCTTGCCCTATACTCATGGGGGCGTAAGTGTCTTGCCCTATACTCAAGGGGGCGTAAGTGTCTTGCCCTATACCTAAGGGGGCGTAAGTGTCTTGCCCTATACTCAAGGGGGTGTAAGTGTCTTGCCCTTTACTCAAGGGGGCGTAAGTGTCTTGCCCTATACTCAAGGGGGCGTAAGTGTCTTGCCCTTTACTCAAGGGGGCGTGTCTTGTCCTATACTCAAGGGGGCGTAAGTGTCTTGCCCTATACTCAAGGGGGCGTAAGTGTCTTGCCCTTTACTCAAGGGGGTGTAAGTGTCTTGCCCTTTACTCAAGGGGGCGTAAGTGTCTTGTCCTATACTCAAGGGGGCGTAAGTGTCTTGCCCTATACTCAAGGGGGCGTAAGTGTCTTGCCCTATACTCAAGAGGGTGTAAGTGTCTTGCCCTATACTCAAGGGGGCTTAAGTGTCTTGTCCTATACTCAAGGGGGCGTAAGTGTCTTGCCCTATACTCAAGGGGGCGTAAGTGTCTTGCCCTATACTCAAGGGGGTGTAAGTGTCTTGCCCTATACTCAAGGGGGTGTAAGTGTCTTGCCCTATATTCAAGGGGGCGTAAGTGTCTTGCACTATACTCAAGGGGGCGTAAGTGTCTTGCCCTATACTCAATAAGTGTCTTGCACTATAGGGGGCGTAAGTGTCTTGCACTATACTCAAGGGGGCGTAAGTGTCTTGCCCTATACTCAAGCGTAAGTGTCTTGCCCTATACTCAAGGGGGCGTAAGTGTCTTGCCCTATACTCGGCCCTATACTGAAAGTAAGTGTCTTGCCCTATAGGGGCGTAAGTGTCTTGTCAAGGGGCGTAAGTGTCTTGTCCTATACTCAAGGGGGCGTAAGTGTCTCGCCCTATACTCAAGGGGGGCGTAAGTGTCTCGCCCTTTACTCAAGGGGGCGTAAGTGTGTTGCCGTTTACTTAAGGGGGCGTAAGTGTCTTGTCCTATACTCAAGGGGGCGTAAATGTCTTGCCCTATACTGAAGGGGGCGTAAGTGTCTTGTCCTATACTCAAGGGGGCGTAAGTGTCTTGCCCTATACTCAAGGTGGTGTAAGTGTCTTGCCCTATACTCAAGGGGGCGTAAGTGTCTTGCCCTATACTCAAGGGGGGGGGGGGGGGCGTATGTGTCTTGCCCTATAGTCAAGGGGGCGTAAGTGTCTTGTCCTATACTCAAGGGGGCGTAAGTGTCTTGCCCTATACTCAAGGGGGTGTAAGTGTCTTGTCCTATACTCAAGGCGGCATAAGTGTCTTGCCCTATACTCAAGGGGGCGTAAGTGTCTTGTCCTATACTCAAGGGGGCGTAAGTGTCTCGCCCTATACTCAAGGGGGGCGTAAGTGTCTCGCCCTTTACTCAAGGGGGCGTAAGTGTGTTGCCGTTTACTTAAGGGGGCGTAAGTGTCTTGTCCTATACTCAAGGGGGCGTAAATGTCTTGCCCTATACTCAAGGGGGCGTAAGTGTCTTGTCCTATACTCAAGGGGGTGTAAGTGTCTTGTCCTATACTCAAGGGGGCGTAAGTGTCTTGTCCTATACTCAAGGGGGTGTAAATGTCTTGCCCTATACTCAAGGGGGTGTAAGTGTCTTGCCCTATACTCAAGGGGGCGTAAGTGTCTTGCCCTATACTCAAGGGGGTGTAAGTGTCTTGTCCTATACTCAAGGGGGCGTAAGTGTCTTGCCCTTTGCTCAAGGGGGCGTGGGTGTCTTGTCTTGAACAAATGTTGGAGACCACTGGTTTAGAGGAAGCGTCATGGACTAAGCAACCACAGATTGCGGACGGAATGCACAAAACTGAGGTCTAAATGGCGGCACAAGCCAGGACTTTCCCCCCGGAGCTTACAGTCGGTCAACAAAGAATAATAACAAGAAGAAGAAGATAAGGACAGAGAAGAAAAAGAAGAAGAAAAAGAAGAAGAAGGTAAGGACGAAGAAGGAAAAGAAGAATTTTGAGTGGGTTTTCTTGTTGATTCATATCTCGAAGAATCAGTACTGCTGGATTTGAGGGCTGCATCACCTTGAGCCCCCTCCCACCCCTAATTTGTAAGGGTTAGACCCACCCCCCCCCCCCCAACACACCTCTTTCATAAGAAGCTGTCTTGGCTGTACACACACCGGTATACGCAGGTGTTGAAGGCAGTTAAAGAGCAGACAGATTGGTCGTGTCTACTGTGGTTGGTGGTTGGTTGCGCAGCGTTTCAATGGAGCTAACGAACGATGATGACCCGCCTGTTTGGAATTAAACGAGGACAAACATACAAAATCCGGCTGCACGACAAAGAAATAAGGTCTGCTAATCAACTCGTACTCGATCCTTTGAGCATGGAGATATCAAGATGGCTGCTGCATCGGAGGAAGGGAAAACAAGGGGGCAGACGAATTTACTATGAAGTCAATATGGTTTTGTAAGGCGACTGTTTACACACATTATTTCAAATAGATTAGTGCATATTTTATGTGTGTTGTCGTTCAGAACATTAATATTGAGAGTCCAGGTGGTACAGGGGCTAGAGGCTTTGCGCGCCAATCTGGAGTCGTGTGTTCGAATCTTTATAAAGGCGGATGTTATTTTCCTCAAAAATGACATTGGATTCAAGGCCAAACCAGCTTACAATTTGGTTCCATGAAAAGGCCCTGGCGTAATGTTGATCACATTACTTATCAGGGGGCAATGCCCGGCTTTCTAGCATAGTTGGTTAAACCTGACATCGCGGTAACCGTGTGACAAACTCATTGTGGTCTGGGTTCACTCGCGGGGGTAGGAAGAAGAGCCACATTTCTCCCAAATTTACGGTACCTATTATGGAGTCATGGCCGAAGGGTTGCGATATCCATAGTACCGAGCCAAAGGTTTAACAACTAATGGTTTCAGAATAAAAAATAAAAAAAATAAAAAATCCCCCCCCCCCCCCAAAAAAAAAGTCGGGGGCAATAGATTGTACAAAAATGAGTCTTGTGTCATATGCCCAGTAAGTCATTAGTGTGAAAAATGTCCTTTAATTCACTTAAATTATTATTACACACATAAACAAGGCTTAAGTTTCTTTAGCACCCTTAGACAATTAGTAACGGTGCTAATATATTCCCCCACCCCTCAGTGTTTTATTCGCGCCTTGACTTCTGTGTAGAACGTCATTTGTTAGTCTCGAAATAAATAACTAATGATTTTAACTTGGAACACAACTAAAAGAGATAAAGCCTTATTACAGGTTTTCGATAACAGAGTCTAACGACGAATCTTTGGACCCATCAAAGATGCAAACAGCGGGTAATAGAGAGTGATAAGCAAGAGCGAAATTCATAATCTGTTTAACTCACTACTGATCACTGGCATCGTGAGAGCTACTAGACTGAAATGGTTGGGGCATTATGAGAGAATGCCAGATGACAGAGAAGTAAAAACTGTATACATAAGGAAGATCAATGGTTGTAGACCACGAGGCAGACCAAGAAGACGATGGAGAGATAATGTCCAGTCAGACCTGCAAACACTTGGTGTCACCAAGTGGAAAGAGAAGGCTAACCAGAGAGATGAATGGAGGCGAGTAACATCTGCAGCAATAAACCTCAAGGATTTGGAATGCTGAAGAAAAAGAAGAAGAATGGGTGCTTTAATAACATCCTCCCCCAAACAGGAGAAATCCACATGTCACTGGACAGTCTAATATTTCAATAGGTGGTAGATAGGCTGTATGCAGTCGTGGGACCTAGGCTGCACTCTCTCGTAAGACGTAGGTGGGTTGAAAGGGGAGCCAGTTCTTCATGCTTTGGGATCGTTAAAAGCATCAGAAGCCGAAAAACCCAGTCTTACCACCCTCTAAAATGTTGGACTGTCCTGTGACGTCATCTGGGGGTAAAATATTAATAAAGCACATAAGAATGATTCTAAAACTAACCTAACATTTTAGACGAGTAGTCATTAAACTAACCATGGCTTGTATGAAATCCACAGGGTCCAGAAACAGAAGCTCTCGCTGTAGGACAGATAGGAGACCGGCTCTATATATTCGTAGGGAACGAGAACCCGGGAGTTATTTTTGTATACAGTATCGGAGAAAACGTCACACAGCCTCGTTTTGAGACAATATTCTGCAAGGGACTTCCCGATGACAAGACAACCTTGGAAGAAAAGTTCGTTGCCAGAAAACTCTTTGCTATGGACCCAGAAGATATAAAGTAAGGCTATTAAACATATAGTAAAGTAAAGGACCCTTTTCCACGCCTTTAGGCATATAAAGGGCAAATTGGGTTAGACCTCTATTTTATAGACCAATCGGCACAAGATGGGTGATGTGGTCAGCAAGGTGATTTTTGAAAAAAGTCCGGCTTCGCCAGGGAGCGAACCCACGAGATTCCTATTAGTAGGCGAGCGTCTAGCCGATCCGCCACGGCGACTCCCATTATATATATATATTTATAAATGTATATTTCCTGTGTGGGTTCCATTGTGAGGAAAAATAATAGACCTATTGCTTCCACAAGCAGGCCGTAAAAGCAGACTAATTAGGGATGTTCCCTTCGAAGTTTGGTGCATTTGCCTGAGATACAAGAAACCAACAGCCTGCATACGAGTAAACCAGATCTGTGAAACCGATCTGCATCCAAAACTCATGTTCTAGAGCAAGACCACTTCCAGAAGTTTGCGAACTCGCCGAACACTCCGTCGGAGTTAACACCCATTAGCGTTAGCGCAGTCGATAAGAGGCTCGCTTTCAAATCCAGCTGCGACTCGCTGCAGCCCACGGTCAGTGTTCGAAACCGGGCGGTTCCCGGGGTTCACCCATCCTCTATGAAATGGGCTCCTCAGTTGACACTCTGGGGTAAATGGAGGTACGTCGCTGTAGCTACAGAGTTACGTGCGGACGGCGACACAGGCGGACTGTTTCTTATCAGCTGTCCGTACTGGTGGCAGAGCACTTATGGTTTATAACCGTGTGCAATGACGCTGGTTCACATCTCCCGACTTGACCTTTCACCTTTAACACCCAGTGAACAGATGAAATGGAAGAAGAATAACTAACGTGTTATATTTAAATACGGCGTTGCCCCCTCCCCGCCCCCGCCCCCCCCCCCACAAAAATGCCGACAGTCAAGTTAGTTGAGTATTATGATGTTGCAGAATCAACCCCAGAATTTTAAAGCTGCTATGGTTTGTTTAGGCAGGCAAATATAGCGTTCAGTAGTTTGCCATTGCATCTTCAAAGATCGACTCAGGGCTCCACAGAAAATAAAAGACTGAAAGATGTCTGTACTGTTTAGCGTTGCCTACCGCCGGAGTAAAAATGAAAGGAAGAAAAGGTTTGATTATTATATAAAGTAGTAGGTATTTATATTCATCATTGTCCTGTCGGACTCGCAGTCTATTCATCTACTCCGTTTTATCCTGCACAATTAATTCAATATCATGGAAGAAAACCAGCCTAACACATTTTGGTCTCTCTCAATAACGTTTATTTTAGAGTTTCTTGTGGGCCTGATCACTTCATCAATCACTTTATTTGCCAGTGAAGTTCCTGTTTAGTGATGCTCTTTTCTCGTTTCTTCCAAGGCTGTGTCCAATAAAGCGCCATTTTCTTTGTCTTATAGCTGTATGTTAAGGAGCGGCTGGCCGAACGGTTAGAACAGTGGGCTGTCACGCGGGAGACCCGGGTTCGAATCCTTGGTAAGGTTGGAGATTTGTATCTGTCGGGGACAAAATAAAATCTCTACCTGCACAGTCGTGGCGACAGCACTAGCCATGCGGCGTAAATCTTCAAGCTCAGAGATCCCCCGCCTCCCCCGCCTACACCGCAAAAGTAATCTGGTAATCTGGTAATCTTAGTTTCAGCTTTATAGCAAACGGGTCAGACATAGTTGCTCCGCTCCTGTGCCAACGAACAACACATAAAATGTTTATTACAATTCAAATGAAATCCGCAGCTCACAGTGTTACGCCATGCACTCAACTCAGAAGCCGGGCAACGAAACTATATCCTTCCAGTCTACAAATGGAGCAGAAATGCAACAGCCACCGTCTGGCTAAAGAAAAAAAAAATTGCCACGGCTACAAAAAGTGGCCGTGCCTAGCGTCCATTTTGACCTGAAGTATTATTTGAGAGTTAATAAACAGGCACCCCAGCAGTATCCTCACTATTAGCTGGGGAAGTGACTTAGGAAATTACATCCACCGCAAAAGTGGTATACCAAAGGCAGTTATTGGCATGTGTAGCTGTTGTTAGCATTGTGTACAGTTATCTTATTTCTATGCTAAAATAAAATGCATCCAGGTTTTCTTAGGTTTTTGACTTTTAAATGCATTTTACTCTCGCTTCATATTGTTAGTGGTTCTCTATCCGTCACTGACATACGTTAAAACTGAAATAACATAACCTTTGAATATATGTAGTCTGGTTTTTAAAGGATACAGTAGAGTCCCACATTTTGCTGCTAAAAGCTGCTGCTGCCTTGTCGATGAGTGTCATAATTTCTTTCTTTATGTTATCTTTACTACCAAACTTACTATCTAAACCACTAAACTGATCTATTACTCCTTTTGTCTCTAGTGTGTCTGTTTTTTTTTCATAGCCTATTAACTTCAATTTTACTTCACCCCAAGCAAAGCAAATCCGGGAAGTCCCAGGACAGTCCATTATTGTAGGGGTGTTATTGGTTAGAGTTAGGGTTAGGACTAGGGTTAGTGGGGGACGCTCTAAGGAGTTCAAGGCTGACAAAGATGTTTGATTTTCATGACAGGCCACCCCGGCGTTATATTGCTATTGTCCCAGCAAATGATAGCTTCAGGGAACATTTCAAACCATAACACCCCTAGAACATTGGACATTCTTGTGAACTTCTGGATTTCCTTTGTTTATGTGAAATTAAATTGAAGTACCTTATGTCTCGTATAAGGACAACTATGGTCTGGAAAGGTGGAAGATTGCCCCCCCCCCCTTTTTTTTTTCCAAATGTAATTCTTGGTTCTCTTCTTTTATTTCACCTTATCTCATGGACTTCGAAAATTCGTGAGGAGTTCCAGGGAAAGTCTAATAGTATAGGGGTGTTATGACAGATACACCGACTAACACTACCCTAAACCCCGCCCCAACACCTCCCCCCCCCCCAATATTGGACTTTCCCGGGAATTCCCCAAGAAATCACGGAGTCTCCGAGATGGGGTGAACTAAAAGACGAGTACCTAACTCTGTACAAAGGATATATGCCTGGTTCTAACACGGAATATCCTAAATGCTATTCACCTGGATGTTTCAGGTTCTATAACGCCACCGAGAGCCCAACTGGGTCGCCAATTCTTCTTGTGGCAGGGGCAGTGTCTGGAACAGTGACCATCATGTCAATTGAGGTCAGCTGAGGCATGGAGGTCAACTTTGAACTTTGAGAGTAAGTATAAATGTGATACGATAATTATGAAGGTAGTTAAAACAAGAGCTGCACTGTTGGCAACTAAAAACGTCATTTAAGAGCAGTAAAGTACAGGAAACCAAGCCGATGAATGAAAATGTTAGTAAGATCAACGAGTTGCTCTTTGCAGATGACCAGGCCTTGACAGCAGATACAGCCATGACATTGCAACAACATCTAACATCCATGAATGAAGAATGTAAAACAAATAATATGAGAATCAACACTGAAAAGACAGAAGTAATGTCAATAGGAAAAAAGAAGACAGATCTAAACATAGCAATAGAGTGTAAAGGCATTAAACAGGCATCTGAGTTTAAATATCTGGGAACTACATTTACCGAAGATGGGAAATTGGATAAAGTAATTAATATTAGATGCAGTAAAGCAAACCAAGTATTGGGACAGCTAGCCCTCCTCTTACAATCCCAATCAACACAAAGAGACATCTTATTCAAAGCATATTTATTCCAACTCTGTGCTACCAGTGCCAGACATGGTCACTCACAAGCCATAAAAGAAAATTAGTAACCATGGAAATGAGATGTCCGAGAAGGGCTGTAGGAGTGACCATAAGAGATAAGATCAGGAATGAGATCATAAGAGAAAAAGTCGGCACAGAACCAATTCTAAATTACATACAAAGACAGCAAGTGAAATGGTTTGCCCACTTACGAGAGAATGCCTTGTGACACCATACCATACAAAGCATACATGGAAAGAGAAGAAGGACGTAGAGCACGAGGTAGACCAAGAACAATATGGAAGGATAACATCAGAGAAACTCTACAACAGCACGATGTACCTATGGTCGAGGCAGCCAGGAGAGCTAGAAACAGAACCTTATATCTCCCTCGACACCCACAGCGGTAAAAGAGGAAGTGAAGAAGAAGTGAAGAAGAAAGTACAGGAAAAAGTAAAAGCAGAAGACATGGTATCAGGATGAAGTGGCAGGGTCCGACCAGCAGGAAGATGAACACAGGATAGAAGTGGCACATTTAATAGGAAATTGCAGGAGGCGGGAAATCTGGCGAGAGGCCGAGTTTCTTTACAACCCTCTAAAATGTTTGACTGTCATGTGACGTCATCTGGGGGGAGGATAAAAATAAAGCACAAAATGTAAATTTACAGGATATCCAGTATCGTCCTTCCTAGGAAGAAATTTGTTGTTATTTGAAGCTCCACCCTGGCTATTGCCAGGGGCCGCAATATAGGCAGGCCATAAATATGGCCAATTGTCTGAACGCGGTTTCTGGGACCTCTCCACGGCGATCCTCATCCACATGGTGACACTTTGTGTTCATCGGGTGTTTATCGCTTGTGTGATGTCCTCGTGGGGTAGAGTCAGTCAGTCAGTCCATTTACAGGAGGCCACAGTGAAACAGGCGAAAAGGGAGATATAAAAAATTGCGTGCAACGAAGGCACACAATTTATTTTCTAAGGGTCTCAATTTAGAGCATACAGGCACGTCTTCCATTCGAGCCTTTTAAACACGTAGAAGTAAATTAGAGCCATAAGTTAATGAGATGGAAGTAGAACGAGCTGCAAGGGGGCAAAGGTCAGGGCGCTTGGCCTCGATTGGTTGACTTCTTCAGCTCCAGAGGGAAATCGGAAAAAGAGGGGGGGGGGGGTGAATTACTAAAACACCGGTTATAGTTGTGATATTCTTAACTAATGGTTATATGATCATAATCATAACTTATTTCTTAACATAGCAAAAACAAAGATAATGCATACAAACAAAACTGCCATGGAGAAGGAAATATATGTTAATGAGGAAA